TAGCTCCAGGAGGGCCAATAGGTCCGGGAGGTCCCTGAATGCCCTGAGGACCATGGTTTCCCTTAGGGCCCATTATTCCTTGTTGCCCAGATGGTCCGTGTTTACCTGGGGGGCCTATTGGTCCAGCTGGTCCCGGAATTCCTTTTGGCCCAGGTGATCCATTTTTTCCTGGGGGGCCTCTCTGACCGGGTCTCCCTCGTCTTCCCCTGATGCTTTTTGGGCACTGGGCGCTACAAGCCTGGCTGCTCATAACAAGTCGCACTTCTTTTCTGATCGCCTCACGATCGATGCTGACATTGGCGTTTGACCTCTCGTCTGTATTTTTCACTTGCCGTCTTTGACGAGTTTGAAGTTCTGCAGGAAATATCACAAAGTAAGTATCGCTACGTTCCGACTTAGCTTATTTCACTTACAAGATGCCTAAAGCCTCTGACTTAAAAGGCTGGAATCTTCAGTACCTCTCATAAAATTTTACAAATTTTTGTAATCATGGACTTGGCTTCATTTGAGAGTGAGGTCGTCTAAATCTTAAAAATGGCCTATTCAAGTTGGCGTGATTCCCAGAAGCTGTTTCGAAAATTAGTGAACTCGACAAAACGAAAGGAAAACTTGAGATTAGTTGCGAAACCGAGCCAATTTATATGTTACGATGCTTGATTTGTCGTATATGTCTCTTACGATACATGTTATTTATCTTCTCGTGTGAATAGATATATAAACAAGTTGTTACTGAACCGCGGATCAGCAGACCGCGGAACCTCCAGAACCCGGCTGAAGCTGGGAAATCAAAAATTTACTTTTTTGTAAAAAAGAAAGGAATTAAAAAGACAACTTCAAAAAACTTTCACATTGTTCGAAAATTCATTTTCGGGTGTAAAAAGACTATACACTAACAGAGAAATGTTTTTAAAACATTTCTCTGTTAATGTAATCCTTTTACACCCGAAAATGAAATTTCGAACAGTGTTAAAGTTTTTTCAGTTTTTCATAAGAAGAATATTAGCGGACTTGACATCCAACGAGAGGTAATTTACTTTCTTTGTGACGACTTTCATCGTGCAAGGGTCATTAAGAGTAATTAGTAGCCACCCACCCCGAATGCAAGTAATTTAAACCATAATTTCAAAGCTCTAACGTTTGGCTACCGTGATACCCGCGTATAACGCCTTGTCCGAAGGCCCGAAGTGGCCCTAAATCAGTCCAAGACATTCACACGATGCAAAAGAACAACCTCTTGACCGGGGTTAATTTTGTCCTTATTCAAAAATAGTCCAAATCCTTTTTAACGTTTAGAGTGCGACTGTCCGGTCCCACGCAAATCCTTTCATTTATCAGTGTTTAGTTGTTTTTCATTTTGACGTTATTTTATTATGGCTCCACAGCGGTTTCCGCCGCTTTCTTTGGTTTCAAAGGTTCCGCGGTCTGCTGATCCATAGTTTAGTAACACCCATTTAAACATTGTTATGTCCAAAGTATACTTATCTACGTTAGTTTGTTACAAATCCATATCCTCCAGTGTACGAATTATCCTCTTGAGCTTTTCTTTATTTTATTGTTGGTGTGAACTCAATTAAGATTGAGCGTCCCCGGCCGTTCGAGTTATATTGGGTAGTTTTTCAATAAAGTACCCATTAGAGGGGGAGAAAGTATGATCTATTCGTATAAACAGCTTTTGTTTATAATTTTGAATTAAAATTATAAACAAATTGTAAATTAGACCTGGAAAGTTTTGCCTTGACATCAGAACGACATGAAACAGAGTCAAACATATCGTCATTAGAGTAGCTAAGCAGCTGACTCTTTGACATTTGATTGGTGCCTCGATGTAAACATAAAGAATTTTTAAACTGTTGAAATAACCTTCACAGAAAGTCTTCCTGTTTTGAGGTTCAACGAGCTCGTCTGAATTGCTATGAGGAAATAAACTATGTTGAGGAAGATTTTTCCTTGTCTTTATTGCTGAACGGCTCAGCTTTCGACCTAACAACATGTCATCCTGTATTGCTTGCAGTGCGCTAACTTCCTTGTTTTAAGTATTGCTTTCAATAGCAATGACGCTTTCTTTTTAACTGCGATAGAAATTGTAAAGCCCCAAATACTCGCTGGCGTATTTTTTTAGTTAATTATCCCTTGATATATGGATCGAAATAATTAATTATTGAAAGATAGAAAAAGCGGCGCTTCTTATCCTCAAAAACCATGCGTGACTCCTTGAGCTTCTTCAAAGAAGTTTCCTTTGTCTTGAGATATTCTACACATTGTGGAGAATTTTCTCCCACTAATTATCACGAAGCTTGAAGTATCCAAACATTTTGCTTTAGTTGAGAGTCATCTGCTTTAAAATTCAAAGGTGAACATGAAAAAACAAGCTAGGAGACCAAAATTCAAACGAACTTCAAATGGTAACCTTCAAAATCGCAGTTCAACTTTTATAACGTTACTCAGGCCCTGTAACAAGGATTTCTAGTTAAAAGCCGTTCTACTCTTCTTAATTTATATGCTTAAACCCACCTTTTTCTGAGTATAAAATATTCATCTCGTTCGTCTTTTCGTCGTTTGCTGTATTCTTTAGCACCAGTTTCTCGTCTGTCGGTTGATTCAAGACTTGAAGCATTTGTCGATGAGCGTGAAGCTCGATCTCGACGCGAATCAGTCCGGCGAAGCAAACAAAGGAGAGAAATAACGTCGAAAACACCAAAGAGTTAAAGATTGGTTTTGTCTTTGATTTCTCCATCGGCGCGGAGCGGACGGCGAAAGTGTGCTAAAATCTGCGGTCCGCGGCATGCATGAAAAATAGTGTCTTTCACAGAGTGCAACAAACGTACTTATAGTCACAGCAAAACAATGCGTGTGGGTAAGGAGTTCTTATCAACTTTCAGTGGTCACGTTTCATATCTTCTTAAATCAAAGTTTCATCACTTCCTTCAGCTTAAGATTATTATTTAAAGTCACAGCGAGTCGTTGGGTGGCATATATAGTTTTTACCCTAAAGTAAACTTGTTTCTCAGTATCATCTTACATCACAGGCAGCCCAAGCTCACTTCTAGAAAAGCGGACGTGACTCTTAACGTGTTGCGCAACGTTTTATATTTATAAAGGTTTGTATGGGATGTTATCGGTTTGCCTTAAAAGAGAGAAAAAAATGTCTTGTTTTGAAATAAAATGGGCTTACCTTATTGCTTTGTTGTTTTCTTTGTTGATTCCGAGCGTCTCAGGCCATTTTGAAGCGTTTTCGGCGAGTTAGCGCTATGTTGGTGTTCAACTGCTAAAAGAAAGACAAGGCCGGAAACCTATTTTAGAAGTGTCCGTCGCCCGAAGCAAATAATTCCGCCAAAAAATTACCACCAGTCTCGATTCCTCCAGAAAATCAAAGCAGAGATGTTGCAGTTTCATTTCCATTCACTCGATTCCCAATTCCTCCCACAGATCTTTCACTAGCGATGCTTTTATCTCCAGATCGATCGGCTTTCCAATTTCGAATTTGGCTGCTTGAAACATTTGCGGCCCGTTGGCCGATCGCACAGTATGTTGGGTAACAAAAATAAGCCCGGCGAGGGTAGCCAGCGACCTGCAGTCGACAAACAAACCAGTTAGCTCCCCTGGTCCCCTCGAGAGGTTTTGTCAAGACCGCATTGTTTTGATCACACATTTCCATTCGATGTTGATTGGTCGATCAAAACAATGCGGTCTTGACAAAACCTCTCGAGGGGACCAGGGGAGCTAACTGGTTTGTTTGTCGANTGTAACTGAGAAGGTGTCACAGTCTTTTAGGTTCCCCAGTGTTCTAAACATCTTCATTAAGAAAAATTGATGACCTATATAACGTGAAATTCAAGCAGTCATATTCAAGGTGTCACGGCGTGACTGGAAAGGAATAACGATCTGGGATATCTAGAACCTTAGACTTTAAATTTATGACTGGTCCCCTTCTTCATCTGACCTTTCAGATATTTATATTTCAATGGATCCTGAGGAAGAGATGGGAAGTGCTTTTGTTCTTGTACCCAAGCCTCTCTTAGGGCTGTTATATTGGTCACGAGAGACTATAGATAATTGGTCTTCCTCCCCTCTTTAGCTTGGTCCAAGGTTAAAAAAGGGTCATAATAACAGTGAGAAATACTATGTTTGATATTATGCTCTGAAATCAGAACGATACTAAACGGAGCGAACAGATCGTCATCGGAGTAGATTAGCAGCTCAGATTCTTTGACATTTAATGGCTGCATCAATTTAGGGAATTGGTGGAATTAACCAAACGACAGCTATTGCTGAAAGGCCTGGCTTCTATCCTAACAAACAATTGTTTTGATCATCTCATCCTTCAGTCTGACACTGTGTGGTTTCCTCAGTTTTTACTGGATTTGATTCAAACCCATATTGCTGAGTTATGGTTTCACTTTTACACAACAAATTATCAGGTTGTTGATGAAAAGGTAAAGGTCAAGTGAAGAATTAATTTTAGAAAAGAAAAGACATGTTTTGATCTCGACCGGGAAAGCACCTCACTCATGGAGTTCATGCAGCGCTCCGACGTCACTCCAAGAGATCTCCGCGGTGCGCTAACATCAATATTTTTTTCACTGATTTTTTTTACGTCCTGACTTTTCAGCCAGACGAGAAGAATCTGTGATAGAGAGTAGCAGTCTCCTTTTTCCTCATTTCCCCTAAGTCTGGCCCAGGCTAAGATTACATGTTATACAGAAAAGTAAAAAATACAGTTGTCGATGTATGCATAAAAGTTGTCGATGTATGTATCAAAATGACATCTAAACTAACGTTGATCAGTTCTAGGAACTCCAATACTACTTTAAATTTGCAAGGAAAGAGGAAAGCTAACACACATTTCTAGAGCTCTGTAAACGCCTTTCCGCTAACGATATTACTTGTTAAAGAGAAAAAACGTTCAGCATAAGAGGCTTTGGGGTACACTGGGGTAAATACTGCCACTAGTAAAAGGATTGAGAAAAATATCTTAGCAAATAAGGTCAAGCCTTCTTGTGTATTTTCCTAGTATGAGGCTTCAAAAAAAGAAAGAAGTTATGTGGTCACCTTATAAAAAACAAAAATTAGTAGGCGGCTACTTATTCAACAGTTCTTAGAATGCAACTGATGAAACTAATCAGTCACAAGGATTAATATTTTTCGTTCACAGGATCAGTCGCGTTTAATCAAATTTGCGAGGAAAGTAGAAAGCTAACACAGATTCACAATAGGGCCGAGCCTTTTTTTAGCCCGTTGCCTTGTGTATTACTTAGTATGAAGCTCCAAAAAAAAAAAAAATTATACGGTCACCTCATTCAAAAAAATGAGAATTAGAAATAATCAGGTATTTAACAGATCTTAGTCCCTAAGATGTAACTGACGAAACTAAAATGTCAGAAGGATCAGTGTGTTTTTGTTTAAAGGATCAGTTGCCTCCCACTTACATAACAACCGTTGATAATTACACTTGCTGCATTGTGGTTAGTGGCTGAGTAACTGAAACAATGAAACCTTATGCCACACCATAACATTTGAGTTTTCCTAATGTCCTTCTTCGTCTGGTTCATCCAAGTCTCCGAGTCTGATTTGTGTGACAGGTAGAACAGACTTATCAGTCAACAAACCGCTGTCCTCTCTCCAGGAACCGCCAATGTTATGACAGTTACACTTTTTACCATCGGAACAAGAATTTGTTACTCCGCATGCGCACATCTTGTCATGACCTGTAGCTCCTCCCCAGTAGTTCATCGGTGCTCCACCACGTGACACCCACCAAGCATAATTATCCTCAATAAAAGTTGTGTCATTATTGCACTCAAATTTGATAAACTGTTCACAGTTCTGTGAGACTCGAGTGAGTGCTGATAGCTGAGCGGTGCTGACTCCAGTGTATCGCACATATTTACTGTAACATCCAGGAAAAACACATCCAGGATTTTTCCCAACATAAGTTCTTCTCTCACTATCATGACTGATAACCGTCACACCAACCCCACCTTTGTCAGTCATGTCACAGTACACGCTGAAGGGTGTCACGCTTCCTTTGTCGTCAGGGTCAATCGTATAAGTACCTGAAGATGCACCTCTATTGTGGGCTTTTATTTCGCTACAAGAGGTTAGCTTTCGAACTTCAAGCACAGTTATAGCTGTTATGGAGCGATAAAAATTTCTCGCAATGCAATTGTAGGTTCCAGCATCAGTCGGGGAAACATTTTTAAGAAGCAGGGAGCCATTTGAATAAACTACGTGACCCGAAGGCAGACCTTGGCCTGTCCGCTGCCACACAATCTCTCTTGCTCCTTGTGCTTCGCAAGTCAATAACACATTTACTGAGGGTATGGTTAAACCTTTAAAGGGAGGGAATAATGTAAACTTTAGTTTTTCCAACACGATGACTTGTGTACGGGTGGAGTCCTCGTTAAGAATGTTCTTTGCAGAACATATGTAGTCTCCACCATCGGTTTTAGTCACACGGGTTATTTCCAGTCTGCCATTGAGAACTTTTGATCTTTCCTTTGACATGTGACCGAATGCTTTTCGCCACGTGATGGTTGGTGTGGGCTGACCAGTAGCTTGGCAGATCACACTC